GCTTTAAAAATTCAAAAGAATGAAGCCACTCTTCATGCCCTATATAAATCGCACATTGATTATACCAATAAACTTATATTGGGAGGATTCTTTGGCCGTGCTATAGAGTCTAACATTCGCGCGATTGATTTCATTTTACAAGCCTCAAAAATCACAATTTCGTCTCAAAGCTTATGGATTGCTCTTGGTGATAGTCTCAAGGTTTTTTTAGTGCTTCAAGATTCTGTTGATCAACTTCCTTTAGATGCTTTAGTCGAGATCTTTAAAGAAGTTGATTTCGAATCAAACTCAAACTCGGAATGGGGAGCTGAAATGCTGCGGGTGGATGGTTTAAAGTTAGAGACCGCTTTGAGATATTATGACTCTGAGGAGAAACTTAGTTCAGTATCCACATTCATCATTTTATCATCCAAGGCCGCTCTCCTTCTATCTTCAAGTAAAGGGACTAAACTGGAAAAATCATCAATCTGTTATAATTTGGGTTTGTCATATCTTCAGTCTTTTAATCTTCATGAGACTTCACTCTTTAGAGATTTAGCAATTAAAAGTTTGAAAAAAGCGATCCGATTGGAATCGCATACCTCTGCATTTTGGTTGGCTTTGGGAAACGCATTCGTTTCTAGTAATCCTCAGGCTGCTCAACATTGTTTTATCAAGGCCATCGCCCTCGAATCAAGGGACGCTTCGATCTGGGTCAACTTGGCTGCACTTTACTTGAGATATGGTGATGCGCTGTTAGCCAAAGATGCCTTCACAAGAGCTCAGTCCGTTGCACCTCAGCTATCACTGTCTTGGTTAGGTAACGCTCTAACTGAGCAAGCGTTAGGTGATCCCACAAAGGCATCTAATTTATTCACGCATGCCTTTATTGTATCAAATGGGAGGTCCTCATTTGCGCAGTTATTATATGCTTTGTCTGTCATCGATAAAAGAATCAAGTCAGGAAGTAGCCCAAGAGATATTGAGACAGCACAGGAATTCAGTGTGGCAAATTTCGCCATGAAAAGCTATTTGAAGTGCTTTCCTCGAGATGTCAAGGGATTAGAAGTGGCATTCACAGTCAGTGAAAGATGTCAAGACTATACATCTGGTGTTAATATTGCCACACGCTTATGTGAAATTTTGGAGAAACAGTATGAGATAACTGAAAGCAATGACGTGCTATGCGACTTTGCAAAGGCAAAGACAAGACTAGCAAGAGTATACCTTGGCACTGGTGAGTATGAAAAAGCTTTGGAAAGTGCAGAACTTACGATTGCATTACTTGATGATGATGAAAACTTAGATGACGAGGACAAGGATCTGGAATCGATTATGTCCCCTGATGTATTATCTTCACGGATTATCATGGGCTTATGCCACTTTTTCAAGGATGATTTTAACGCCGCTCTTGATCAATTCAAGTTGATATTAGCATCTAACGATGATACGGAAAGATTGGTTACTTTTGTCGCCCAGGTGCTATACGCTTACGGAACACAAGATACAAAGCAAGCCGCAGTCGATCAATTGTTTAACTTCCTTGATCAATATGGATCATCTTTGATGGTTGTACTCACTTTAGGTGCTTTATCAATTATTGACAATTTAACTGAGTTTCTTCCTGCCATTAAAGAGGAAATGAATGGTCTCTCGTTGAAGGAAATATCATCCGATACGTTTAGAAACGTACCGAGGTTAATAAATGAGATTGATAAGAGGATTCAATCTAGTGATGAAAAGATATGGCAGAAATCAGCCATCTTATTCCCTTCTGATTTCACTGTGTGGAAGCAATTGAGCCCTCAAATGGCCCTAAAAGTGGCATCTTTGACTGAAACAAAATTGACAGCTTACGATTTCGCACAGTCAAATTTGGCTATTGGCAATCTCCGTCTTATTCAGAGATCTCTAATTCTATTCCCGTCGTATAAAGAAGCTCAAAGAGCGTTGGATGGTTGCTTCTAGGCCTGTCTAATGATAATTAGGTGGGGGCAATCAACCAGGACTGTATATAGACAATAACGTTACCACTGTGTATAAAACATACATGATAAGAGTTATAACACGTCCTTCTATAGACTATCACCCCCTCGTTGTATCAATACACATTTAAAGTTACTTGGGGTATTAAATCAGTTAAAGGCTATTAAAGGGATTGTTAAGGTAGTTTTATTAGTTATATGAAGCTTTTAGATCAAATCCTGATAGCCCCCCCCTCAAGAGTTGTATCATTAGAATCAATCTGTGACGAGCCAATAAAAGAGAATATAAAGATATTGATACACAATTAAGCGTCCAGAGAGGCAGGTACGTTAATTAAGGGATCTTCCTCTTAGTTGTTTGAGTGATTTTTTTTTTCTTGTCCTTTTTCACCTATCTTCTTTCGTTCTTTATCAAATTCTTTATCCATCAGAGTCATTTATTGCATAGTTGCTGAATATTTTCTTCAAACGTTTTAGTTGGATTGCTTGCCATATACATACATCATCTTTGAACTGGGAAAATGGTTTCACCGACACCAAATGAGATAACGTATGACAAGAGCCAAATTGATCCATATGTGAGAAGGCAAAACGCCAAGTTGACACAAGTAATACAGAACTTTTTCACGAAGGCGGTCCAAATCGTATCCCAATCGAGGCTACTCCCAGGCGGCTCAGAGCCTGTTGATAATACGGGAAAGATCAATAAATGGTTCAATTTACAAATACATAATAGTGATCTAGTAAAGGACGACTTGAAGCTATGGAAACTGTGCGCTGATTTATCAAACATCCCACCCATGATAATAGAGACATATCTTGATTTGAGACAATTAACGCCTCGACAGATTGCCGTTTTGAATGATGATAACGGGAACCCTTGGACAGTTGCAAAGGGAGGTTCGAAAAAACAAGAGGTTGTCTTAGAAAGATGGTTGATTGAGTTTGATCCAAATGATGTGTCTGGGTCTATTATTGATGAATTGCCTTTAATTTATAAGCAGGCAATAATCTTGTTCAGGAGTCTATATGGGTTCTCAAGATTAATGCCTGCGTTCAAATTAAGAAAAGCTCTAAAGAATTCGAAATCAAGTAAGTTGGTATTGGGTAACAAAGTCTTAGATGGAAAGCAGCCAATAAGCTCGAAAGGTAGGTTTGGGCTTTCTAAGTCGATAATACCTCATCAAATGCTTCTTACGGAATCCCATTTGAATCAAAAGTATTTCCAGCCCATTCAAACTACCTTAGGTACTTTAAAAGTATCTATAGCTTATAGAAGGCACTCTGATTTTTGTGTTCATGAAAGCGAAGAAATCCTATCTACTCAGTTCATGTCTATGGATATCGACAAAAACTCAGAGAGTGAAGTAATTCAAAAGCATTTACTGGACACAGATGAAAGACTGTCAGACCCAAACATCAAAGCAAACAGGAGAATATCTCTTTCCAGTCAAGCATCTATGTCCGTGTCTCCTAATTCTAACTATCATATCGCTAGGGAGAGCTCTCCACCATCGAAAAGAACTTCTAATACTCCGCCGGTTGTACAACGTCCCTCCATACAACCGTTTAAGATAGGATCAATGAGTAATTCGCCTCCACCTGCGTCTAATACACCTTATGTTGGATCCTCATTAGAGAGAAGAATCTCAATAACAAGCAATAAATCAGCATCTAATGCATCATTAGCAGCGGTTTTGAGAAATCCAAGAAGTAGCACTTCTTCAACGAACACCACAACAAACATTCCTATCGCAAGCAATACAAATAATCAATATAACACTTCTATGCCGAGGTCGATTTCTTCTTCACATGGGTCTAATTTGCAACATGAAGACAATTTCTTTGCAAATGCTGAAAGTACAAGTTATACGCCTAGGTTTTCTTCTTCTTTCGGTTCCAGAGCAAGCCGTAGGTTTTCCAACACAAGTATTAGGCAGAGTACTCCAACCGGTAATCTAAATGACGCTTCGATACTAGGGACTAACTCTGCGTTAGGATCACCTGCTGATCCTGTTAGTGGCCTCTACATTGATGATGATATCAGTGATTTTGTTAAAATGATCGATAGCAAATCAGACCTTAGGTTTTCAAGCTACAATTCTGGTAACGAATCTAAGTTATCGTATAATCAAGGCTCCAACAGTCAGTTAGATGCCTTGAGCAAATTTCAGCATTTGAAAAGTCAGCATCAACAATTGGGGGATAGTGTGAATGCAAGCTTAATACTTCAACACAATCAAGCAATTGGATCGCGTCCTTCTAGTCGCAAATCCTCCAACTCGGTAAGCTCACCCCCACCATCCATTCCTTCAGGCTCCTACGACAATCACCATTTACCTTCAATCAACTCAAGGTTACGTGAGAGTACTCCAGGAAGTGAGGGTGGTTCCCGAAGGTCTCCTTCTTTTGAAAATCGTTCGCTGGTACTGCCAAAGAAGCCTGGATATATTTATTCTTCCGAAGTTGGTCCTTCTACTACAAGCGTCGCCGGAAACCTCTTGAAGGGGCATGCAAGCAACAAATTGATAACGGCACCAACTACAGAAGTCTCGAAGCATGTTGATCCTGTTCCTAGCAGTATAAGAACTTCACAAAAATCGCCCTCTGGTACGGAAGCTGCACAGAATTCAAGGAGATCTATACACTATGAGAATGTTTTTGACGATGATGACGACGATGGTGAGGACTACTTCTTATCTAAGGACCCAAGCAAGGGGCGCACAAGTGTGCAGCCTAGTACAAGTATATCTCGAAAGAAGTTGTCCTCTGGAAACTCCGACGATAACGATGACGATGACGACTTATTATTTACAATGAGTGATATGCACATAACAAAGCATTAAGTAGGATTATCTTAGCCACTCATATCGTCGCTTCGCTCACAATAACTCCTAATATATATTTGCAGAAATGGTTATAACATCTATTCTTTTATATTTTATAGTCAAAATGATATTATTTTTTTGAATTTTGGGGAGCCAAAGTTCTAATAGTAGGCTGTAGACCTTCTCTCAGAACGAGTAGCTTCTCAGCTTTCTTTTGCGGGTTCTTTAGATCAATCTGGGGGATTGTTCCGACTTCCCGATATGGTAACACTACTCACGATATTCAATAATATCTAGATCTTTTTATACAACGCCAATTTAGACCAATTGAAACGTTGCTTACGTTGCTTACGTTTAACATCCCCAAAAAGATGATAGCTCCTGTGAGATATAGATCAGCCATAAGGCTAATACCACTATCATCTTTTAGAAGCTTTCACTTTAGTACGGTTTTGAATGTCAAGACTCCGCTTGAAGAATATCATGCACAGGTGACGTCGGGACGTCTTAGACACGATCCATATCAAGAAAAAGTAGTATCATATTTATCAGTTCTACAGGAAAGGTTGAATACATATGAACCACCGCAAATTGATGAGCCAACATTGGTAGATTTGAAACCTAAGTCGAAATTGGGCAGTTTCTTCCAATCGATGTTAAAAAAGAGAGAGTCAGCCCCAGAAATAAGCCAAGATGATAACGGTGTGAAAGGTATCTACCTCTATGGAGATGTTGGCTGCGGTAAAACTATGCTAATGGACTTGTTCTACACTACTGTACCGGAACATCTTCCTAAGAAAAGAATTCATTTTCATCAGTTTATGCAATCACTTCACAAAAGATCCCACCAATTAAAGCTCGAACATAGTGAGTTTGAAATTGACGTTACGCCATTCTTAGCTGCGGAGATTGCTAGAGAATCTACCGTTTTGTGCTTTGATGAGTTTCAGGTGACAGATGTAGCTGATGCTATGTTACTTAGAAGACTACTTATGATGTTGTTAAGTCCAGAATATGGGGTAATATTGTTTGCAACTTCAAATAGGGCCCCTGATGATCTATATATAAACGGAATTCAGAGAGTTTCTTTCATACCATGCATCCAATTAATCAAGAGAAAAACGAAGGTTGTTTACTTGAACTCCCCGACAGATTACAGAAAGGTTCCTAAACCGGTGTCATCTGTATATCTTTTTCCTTCTCCGGGTATCAATTACTTCTCCAAAGCTCATCAAGCCAAGTGCAAACGACACATTGAGGATTGGTACAGTTACTTTAACCGAAACAATGATAGCAAGGATGTTGTGAAGGATTTCAAACTCTCAGTTTGGGGAAGAGAAATAGATGTGCCGTATAGCTCATATCCCTACGTCGCTCAATTCACATTCAAAGACCTCTGTGGTAAACCTCTTGCTGCTGGTGACTATCTAACTTTAGCTGGTGCCTTCGAATCATTCATAGTGACCGATATACCGTACTTGAGTACAGACGTCAGAAACGAGGTTAGAAGATTCATTACTTTTCTAGATGCGGTTTACGATGCTCATGGACGCTTAGCTGTCACTGCAGCAGCCCCATTTAAAGACTTGTTTGTTGAGCCAGAAGACTTAAAGAAAGGTAATTTTCAGCTTTATAGAAAGCAAATAAATCAAGGATCGGAGGAAACTTTTGAAAATGATGAATTAGTTACCAAGCATGGGTTCGATAAAAGTATTGCAAAGAAGGCCTCAATGTTTGCTAACGACGAAGAACGATTTGCGTTTGCTAGAGCACTCTCACGTTTGGCACAGATGAGTACAACAGATTGGATAGAAAGCGTACCATCACACCACAGCTGAGCTTCATCCTATACTAGTTCTCGTGTGAAGTAGTGTCAACGCAATAAGTAGCTCTCCGAAGTATTTACCTAACGCCGATTACGACGATACTTACTAACGATCAAAAACAAATCTATTTCCTTATATAGCCAGCTGCACTACTTGTGCATCGCTAATCCTGCTATTTTCATCTACGGACGGGGTTGAAAATTAACTTTAGTCGTAGCAAGCAGAACGGTTTCAACTCCGAGCAAAACCTCCGGAGAGAATACTTTCGACCGTAAAATTTATCAACTTCTCAAATGGTCTTATTGAAAACATCTATGGCACTAGAAGCTGTAACTCAATAAGAATTTGCGTTGCTAGTGTCGTTTTATACAAGGATATTTCTCACGTTATGTCTCACGTTACCCTCCAGGAGTAGGAAGTCTCAGTACTTTATGCTTAGTTTCATATAAAAATAGAATGGTTTGTATGCAGTATCGCGTGTCCTGTATATACGCGATGGAATTACCGCCCGTGAGACGATAATTCCAACTGTAGCTTCCCGTTGTAAACAACCGATCTTTAAGACGCTTTGTATAGGGAAACACTTAGAAGAAGTCGGCTGAATTCATACATTAAAGAACACTATCGCTACTAAACTACATGGCAATAACAGCTTCACCCTTTTGCTAAAGTTCATATCACAGAGATTGCTAAAAAAAAATTGCAAAATATTAGTCTTGTTTTAAAGGTTTAAACTCGGTTGTATAATATTCATTCGCTCAGGCTTTCAAAAATAACAAAATACATAGTGGAGGTCCTATCCTTTCGAGTCATATCGCCCTACAAGACATAGAAGAAAATTGCGTGGTATAGTCACTTTATTAAATCACATCTTTAAGTTGCTATTTCTAAGCCAGTGATTTCTCTAGCAATATACTAGCTTAACATGGCTGCCGAAAAGATGGCCCATTCCAATCATTCACTGGCATCTATCAATGATAAAAATTACTATGAGGTTTCCATCTCTAGAAACACTTCTTCCAATAGTTTGAATACGAAAAAGAAATACACTTCAGCTTATACGCCTCGAAGAGCTGGGTCAGCGACTTCTCTTTCGACATTGAGTGATTCCAAAAGACCTGGTGATTATTATGTTCAAAAGTTGAGTAACAGTTCAATTCATTTGCCTGTTCAGACAAATTCACATTCCAAGCAAACTGCAAATGGACGGCCAGTCTCTGGCAATTCCATACTGTCCTTGCCGTCAACGTGCTCTGATGATAATTCACTGGTGGCTTCTTCTCAATTTGACATACATGATTCGAGATTAAGCTCTTTGACTAGTAATTCTATGACTTCTCCGCTGGACTCTCCCTCAATTAATAATTATAGTTTTTCCAGCATTCAAACAAACAGCAAGATTAACGAGGAAAGCGAATATGAGGGCTCTGAACAAAGTGAATCACTAGATCAAGTCAATTCGTCTGTTTCAACCATCACTTTGAAAAGTGCTAAAAGAAGAGGATCATCCAATGAGTCAAGTATAAATTTATCAGGTAACTCTCCATCTTACGAGCAGCGTCAGAAACCCAAATTAAGATCTGCTTCAACATCTAGTATCTTGCCTTATAAGTATAATCAAAGGTCTCTAAGCGCAGGCTCAGCTTCTTTAACAAGGACCAAATCTAGGTACATGGACCCAAAGGAAAAGAAAGAAAGATTACAATTGAGAAAAAAGCGTTATGAAGAAAATGATGATGATGATGACATCTTAGCAAATGATTTGGACTTAGTTTGTAATGTTCCGGTTATTCAAAAGCATGCGGAATTGTACGTCAAAAGTTCATCTAACTTATTGTCCAGAAACGATTTACTCTCTGCAAGTGATGACACAAAATATAATATAAAAAAGAGTTCGTCGGGTGTTAAGCCATGTCCATTACCGGGAAAACTAGGTTCTCATGTTGACTTGACGTCGACGTCATCACTTAACGATTTAAGTACAGATTCGAAGAGGAATTCTTCTTTCAATAGTTCTTTTGATAAGGATTCTTCTGTTATTAAAGAGGAAAACGAGTCCTTTTCATTTAGTACAGATGACGATGCTGAAATTGTCAATAACATTTCGAGCTTCTACAGCGAAAGGTCTAATTCATACTCTATCTTAATGAAATCATCAAGAGAAAAAGACATTTTATTCAAATTACCAAATTATATTAAATCTCAGTCCTCGCTTGAGGACTTGCATTTGATGTCACCGGAGAAATTGAATTTCGTCGATCTGACAAGGCCAATTAATTTGCCTCCCAAGACCCACATAGATAAATCGAAACACCACAAAGAATTTCAAAAGGTCTTATTGAATTATGAAAGCAATACTAAACTGCAAAATGAAAGTAGGAAAAGATCAATCGAATCTTTGCTTGCCGGTCAGCAGCAATGGTTGAGGATAGCGGTCAGGGATGATAAGGATTTCAAGAAAAAGCTACTTCATGAAAAACTGGTTCTTCGAAAGTTAAGTTGGAATTCGCTTTGCCCCTCTAAGCTTCGCTATGAACTATTCATTAAATTGATTTCAAGCTCTTGTGAAAAAGGCACAGTTGACAAGTTTGAAAAATCTTTTTCTTCTTGTGATAAGAAGTATAATCACTTGAACAGTTCATTAAAGGCGAGTAAAGGTATTGAGTTTGATGGCGTAATAAATACTGTTATAAAGAAACCACTATTTGAATCAATTTTGAAAGAATTGAAGGAAGGTGATTATAAAGAATTTGACTTGGAAATTTTTCAAGAAAATTTTAAGTATTTCCTTTTCATAAAGTCTCTTTCTGAGACAGGACTAAGAAAGCACGATGAAATATTTTTGATTCCATTATTGTTGATACTTTTTGAGAATGCGCATAGCCGTAGTGATATTTTCGTATTGCTAGAGCTTATCAACCAGCAAATCTTCAATCAAGAATTCTTCACTGAATTGAATTCTTCTTTAAAAGGCTGGGCAGACCTGTCAACCGAATTTAAATCACTTAATAAGTTTTTGCGTACCTTTGATGGTTCGAAAGAGTTTGATAATTTAAATGGTAGCAAATTTTTCGGAATTCTTCTTCAACTTAATGACAAATTACCCTTGAGTTTATCCGCACCATCGACGCCTTTGTCAAATCATCATTCCTTCTTTCCGGGCCCTCCTTCAAACTTGTCCTCGGATTCTGTTCCGTCTCAATCTTCAGACAACTCAGCTGAACTGAATAGCAGTCATTGGGTGAACTCTTCGTCGTTAAATTTAATGGTTATGCTTTTCCAATTACTTATTGTTTACTCGAGTTCTCCTAAAACCAAGGTCAAGAATAATTCAAAAGTGGTCCAGACTTTTTTGGTTGTTATTTTCAAATATTATCATATTAACTGGAATACGTTGAATGAGTTACTAAAAGCAAACAAGTCAATTAAGTTGAACAACACTAGTGACCAAGTCGTTAACATTAATTCTTACATGGACAAATGGAGAAATTCTTTCGAAAATTTCTAAGGCATTGTGTCTTATATTTTTCAGATTTTATAATTAATTAAGGGGTTGCTCTCGGTTTAGAGCTGTATTACATATCTGTAGTACGTTTATAGTACATTATAGTACATTATAGTACAATATAACTTATGAAGCATTTATAATCAGATCACATCTCAAGACTAATCTCGTCTGGATTGTTAGTTTCACTTGCGTCTTGTCCCTCTTGTGTTTCAGTAGTGTGGTTATTATCAGTACCTTTTACGAATCCCATCGGGTTGATAGAGTTCTTTACTGTTTCTTCGTCCATAAATTTACTTTGGATCGTCCTCTTATACCTTAACATTTCTTTGAATGTAGATTCGTTGCCATGGTTCAACTCAAAATTTTCCCAGTCATCCCATACTGTCAGCATTACTACTGAACCAGGGGATCCTAAACTGGAAAGGAATTTAAATAATTGACGAACTCTTGCAAATTCTTTCAATTTAGATTCTAATGCGATAAAACTCCTACCTAGTGAGATCACACCAGATAATTTCAACTGCTTATCGCTAAGTGCATCCTCATAAATTTTCCGAACCTCCGCTTTATCATTTAATGTCTCAACTCTTGCTACTAGAAGAAAATAAATGTCGATTTTATCATTCAATAGTTTCTCTCTGTCTGCTTTAGATAAGTTTGGAGATGATAATCCCACAGTTAGTCTTTCAATACATTTTTTTAGGACCAATATTGAGCGATCTAGCGATCCATGTTCACGCTCAATCTTCGAATACATCTCAAATATTGGCCTACAGTACTTTGGTGGACATCCACTGTGAGCACCAGGATGAAACACATTCAAACAATCGTCAAAGATATCCCTTATTCTTTCTATATCCAAATTTCTTTCTATTACTTTAGCCAAATAAATGCTCCAAATCTCATATTGAATTTTAGTATCCTTAAATGCTTTTATACCCTTTTCGTACACCCCAAAAGCTCTTTCAAAAAACCCGAAACGTTCTAGAAAATCACCGTATTGAAGAACTGTCATTGGAGTAGCAATTTTCAAATTCATAACCGTTTCGTACGACTCAATAACACGTTCAATTTTTTTGACTTCTTCCGAGTTGTCCACCAACGACTCCAATAAATCTAGGTAAAAAGCCCAAAGATTTATTGATTTATGAATCCGCAAGTGAACATCTACCGATGCATCATTATAAGAGGTTTCTTTTGAGTTAGGGGGCAGCGCTAAAGCAGTTTCTATGATCTCAATTGCCTTATCTTCATCCCCACCCACAAGATAGAGCTTACTCCATTCAATATATATTTGGACTAGCTCCTCCGGTGTCTGATATTGAGATTTAACTGATTTTGAGAACACTAAACTTGCAGTGTTGAAATCATTTCTCTCAGAATATTCTTTAGCATAAGATATCCAAAATTCAGGCAACAGATGGTTTGGATCTTGCAGCAGCGAGTGTGACTTTAATGGATTTATGGAGCTCAAACCTTGAGCATACGTACTTAATGCCTTATTTAGCGCATTTCTAGATTTAAAAAGTTCAACTCGTTCAAACCAAACGTCAAGATTGTTGCTATCCTTCCTCAACATTGCATCATTCAATAAAACTGCTCTTTGATCTATCAAATGCTCCAAAAAGTTCATTCTGCATTCAAGCTCATCATTGAGTGAAATATTGGAGGGTTGGTCCTCTAACTCTAGACTTAGATTACTGATCCTTTCTTCTTCAAAGTCGGCAAAGGCATCGAAAATCAAAGCAAAGTCTTGAATTGTAAAAGATTTCTGTATCCCTTCATTGAAGTAGTGATCAGCCTTTTCAAAATTTTCTCTTTTGATAAAATAGTTTGCACATTTTATATATATCTTACCCATTTGATCGGGAAATAAGTTTATACCTCTAGAGGCCAAGCTTTCGAAATACATATTAGACTCATTCTTTGGATCCATTTCGACAAAGGAGTCCAAGTATTCTAGTAAAAAGCTCCACTTAGAGACGGATATTCCATGATAATTCTCAAAGTTATTCCATACATGTTCAAATAACTTGCTACTTTCCCTCCAATGTCCAAACTCAAAAATTTTCTTCATTATGCTATAAATATTCAATTCTAGCTCATCTTTGCGATACGCAATTCCTCTGAGAGCATCTTCCGTAGCATAGCTAAGATACTTCGTGTATGTTAAATAGCCTGTCTTTCCACCTATTCTGTCGGCGAAACGTATATACAACGGCCAGATTATCCCATGCTGAGTAACAGGGAGGCTAATAAGTGCCCTATTGAATGTTCTTCTGGTATGTGTCACATCTTCCTGCTTCAAGAGGAATTGAAGATACTTGAGCCAGAGTATTGGAGCCGTGTATAATAATTGAAGCGACCTTTCAAACAACTCCAGCACTTCCACCGGATTGACGCTGCTTTCAGTAACTAATTCAAGATAAGTACTCCAAAATTTATACGATCGTGGGAACTGCCTCACAGCTCTTTCCAATAAAAACACTTTTGCTTCTAATGATGTGTTTGGTTGTGATTCTTTGAATCGATAATAGCTCAACCAATTATCGAAATTGTTCGGTTGTTTTAAAATTTCATATTCAAATGGTATATCTGATCCATCTATGAAGCTTTCAAGGTCCCATTTCTTCATATGCATCTTCTATGAATGGTCCATCTCAGAGTTAAATAGTTCTTTTACCTTCATAATAAAAAGTTACACAAACCCACTTTATAAGAAAGGTTCGTAGTTGATATTCCAAAGGGAACTTCATATCAGAAGACTAATACAGTGAACCTCTATTGGAGTCAACTAAATTCAATTCGAAATTGAATCTTGATCTTAACTAAAAAATGTCTGGATCTGGTAATAGGGAGCAAGTTTTCCCAACTCGAATGACATTGGGTGTCATGAAGGGGAAATTGAAAGGAGCTCAACAAGGACATTCATTATTAAAGAGAAAGTCAGAAGCATTGACTAAAAGATTTAGAGATATCACTCAGAAGATTGATGATTCTAAGAGGAAAATGGGTAGAGTTATGCAAACAGCAGCATTTTCTTTGGCTGAGGTGCAATATGCCACTGGTGATAATATTTCTTATCAAGTTCAAGAATCCGTCCAGAATGCTAGGATTCAAGTAAGATCAAAGCAGGAAAATGTCTCTGGTGTTTACTTGCCATCTTTTTCAAGTCATATAAATGAAGATATCAATGATTTCAAGTTGACTGGCTTGGGAAGAGGTGGCCAGCAGGTACAAAGAGCTAAACAAGTCTATACGAAGGTTGTGGAAGCTCTTATCGAATTGGCTTCATTGCAGACTGCTTTTATCATTTTAGATGAAGTTATCAAAGTCACTAATAGAAGAGTCAATGCTATAGAACATGTTATCATACCAAGAACGGAAAACACGATATCGTATATCAATTCTGAATTGGATGAACTCGATAGGGAGGAGTTCTATAGATTGAAGAAGGTGCAAGAGAAGAAGCAAGAAGCTGCTGCTGCCGCAGAAGTTGAAGAGAAGGCTGCACGAAGCGCATTATCTGCAGCAGAAGGTGAAGAAGACGATGACGAAGAAGAAGGCGATGATGTACTTAAGCAGGAAGAAGACGATGTCATTTTCTAGTGTCCTGAAGACAGAAGACAGTTTAAAGGATCTAACTAGTTCTTTTTTTAATCATTGACTACTATTTAGATGCTCCTCTACTACTATATCTACCAAATATTATAACCATTTAAGACTATTTGTAGATTTTAATAGACGAACGTCTTTGAGCACGCAAAAATATTTAAGAATCTATGGAACACAGTAACCACCATCGACAATTATGTCTGAACCAGTAGTGTAAGTGGATGCATCAGATGCCAAATACAAGTAGGCACCGACTAATTCTTCTGGAAGACCTTCTCTTCCTAAAGGAATTAATGACCACCACTTTTCTTTCATTTCTTGGGGAACAAAGTCAGAGATTTCGGTTGCAATATAACCTGGAGAAATAGTGTTCACTCTAGCAAATGGAGCCCATTCAACAGCTAAGGACTTACCTAAATGCAAGCAAGCAGCCTTAGCTGCATTATATGGAGCTTGCAATTGTGGTACATTCACAATATGACCAGACATTGATGCAGTGATGACTAAAGAACCCTTTCCGTGTTTCTTAAAGATTCTACCTGCAGCCTTGGCACAATAGAAGACTCCGTTGAAGTCTAAATCGATAACCTTTTTCCAACTGTCTAATCCTTCAACATCAATACATGGGCCATCTGTCCATGGAATTCCAGCGTTGGCAACGAATATATCAATGGTACCAAAATCCTTTTCAATTTGGTTAACCACTCTTTCAACCTCTTCAGCGTCAGAAATGTTACACTTATAAGCTTTACACTTAACCCCGTGTTTTTCACTTATGGCCTTTGCCTTATCTTCAGCTGGTCTTGAATTATACCAGATAGCAACATCTGCACCAGCCAGAGCATAAGCTTCTGCAACAGCATAACCAATTCCTCCTGAAGAACCTGTCACTGATGCAACCTTTCCTTTCAAAGAAAACAAATCAAGCACTTTATGTGATAAGCTTGGTGGTTTCGTTGGTAATGATCCCACGGCTTCATTAGTAAGTGACGTTGCTCCAGCCATTTCTTTCTTGATTTCTATATTTATATATTACAACCAAATTATGGATTAAAAGTTATGTGTATATAATTGCTTGGTTGATACGTACTCCTCTTAAATATTTATACTCGTAGTCACAGACAATAGAGTTGCTATTCGAGGAAATTGTGCCGAGAACGTTCTGGACTAGTCCGAATATTTTTTAGATTATAAAAACTGATGGGCCTATCACAGGTGAATACGGACATGAAATACTTCAATTGATATCTCGAGAGGCTTAACTTAGCGCATGTACAAAAACTGTTTAATTTTTAAGGCTTTGAAGGCTTCTCTCCGAAATTTGGGGGCCAAACTACAACCAGATGAAATCCTGGAACCCTGAGGTTAAAATTCAAATTTCGGAATTCATGAACAAGAATATAGAAGCAGTCAATTTACTTAGTCAGACTTATTCAAACTTAATCAAACTTAGTCAAATATAGTCAGATTTAGTCAGAGTTATATTCATATGTGATGCTTGTAAACTGTGTTATCATAATTTCTACTCACCATGTAAGGCGATTTGATTATCAACAAGCAAAACCACTATAGTCCGAAGAACTCGCAAGCGACAAATAGTGATCTGTACATAACAGACCCACATGAATCGGCTACAGTATCACCGTCACTATCTCTTAAATGCTCACCAACAATAAAGTTTTTCATGCATTCTTTAATTGCAAAATTTATGATCAAGATAGCATAGTTCTGCCGCTTCACACGCCAACTATGTAGTTATTAGACTTATATGAAAGATGGTCTTCTGCTTTCGTCAAGAAGGAAGCAATAGCTCAGTCATTGATACTCAAAGCACGTCAATTGGCATGAAAACAATTGCTAATTTCTTTCGGAGTTTATTTGCTAGCGATAAATATTCCGAAGGGTCTAGACGAGCAACCATATTAAGTTTGGTACTGCATATATTTGTCTCAAAATCCCCCATAAAATACGGGCTCTATTGATGGTTTCAATATGAAAACGAACAAAAGATGTTAAAAGTTTGTATTTCGTATATTTTGATATCGTCGGTGGCTTTTACAGAATAAGGTACAAAATATAGATGTCTCAATTAAACAAGGTCGATATTTATGAATAAATACTATAAAAAAGCATAAAATGAGATGCATTTAACTAATAGACACGAACACCAGGTGGAACAGGCTTACATTCGTTTTCATCCAAAGTAGTCGTGATAACATGTCTGTAGTCCAACTTAACTGGCTCACCGTAGGAGGTTTGATAAGACAAGGAGTGCTTTCTCCAGTTTTCATCATCTCTCTTTGGATAATCGTCTCTGGCATGTGCACCTCTAGACTCTTTTCTAGCAGCAGCTGAATGAGCGGTTTGAGTGGCACAAGTCAAAAGGTTTTGAAGCTCCATGGTCTCAACCAAATCGGAATTCCAGATCATGGATCTATCAGTAGTCTTAATATGTTCGAAAGACTTGTCAACCTTTTCGATGTGTTCGACACATTCATCTAAAGTATCTTGTATTCTGAAAACAGCACAACCCTTTTGCATAGTTTCTTGCATTTCTGCTCTGATTTCAGCTGTGGACTTTGTACCTTCTGCGGTTCTTAACCAGTCCAAGTTTTCAATTGACTTGGAACCGATGTCTTTTGGTGCAGATGGTAATGGAGTTCCTGGAGTTAAAGAATCTCTAACAGTGTGGGCAACAGCTCTACCAAAAACAACTAAATCCAATAAGGAGTTGGCACCCAATCTGTTAGCACCATGAACGGAAGCACATGCAGCTTCACCACAAGCCAATAAACCTGGAACAATCTCGTCCTCACCCTTTTCATTCTTCTTCAAGACTTCACCAGTCCACTTAGTTGGAATACCACCCATATTATAGTGGACAGTAGGCAAAATTGGAATAGGTTCCTTAGTGACATCAACACCAGCAAAAATATGTGCAGTTTCAGAGATACCTGGTAATCTCTCCTTCAAAACAGAAGCTGGAAGATGAGACAATTGCAAGTACATGTGATCCTTCTTTGGACCTACACCTCTACCTTCGTTGATTTCCATAGTGATAGCTCTAGAAACAACATCTCTTGAAGCCAAATCCTTTGCATGAGGAGCATAACGTTCCATAAATCTTTCACCTTCTGAGTTGATCAAGAAACCACCTTCACCTCTGGCACCTTCAGTGATTAAACAACCAGAACCGTAGATACCTGATGGGTGAAATTGAACGAATTCCAAATCCTCCAAAGGTAAACCAGCTCTAGCAACCATAGCGAAACCATCACCAGTACAAGTGTGTGCTGATGTACAAGAGAAATAAGCTCTACCGAAACCACCAGTAGCAATAACAGTCTTGTGAGCTCTGAATCTGTGCAAAGTACCATCTTCTTCATTGTAAGCCATAACACCAATACATGCACCGTCTTGCATCAATAAGTCCAAAGCGAAAAATTCGATGAAAAAGTGAGTATCATGTCTCAAAGATTGACCATACAAAGAGTGCAATAAAGCATGACCGGTTCTGTCGGCAACAGCACAAGTTCTGTAAGCTTGTCCACCCTTACCATAGTCTCTTGATTGACCACCGAAGGCTCTTTGGTAAATTCTACCCTCTTCGTTTCTTGAGAAAGGGACACCGAAATTCTCCAATTCATAAACTGACTTTGGTGCCTCCCTGGTCATGTAGTGAATAGCATCTTGATCACCTAACCAATCTGATCCCTTCACAGTATCGTACATATGCCAGTGCCAATCATCCTTATGCATATTTCCCAAGGCTGCGTTGATACCACCTTGAGCTGCAACAGTATGGGATCTGGTCGGGAACAACTTGGAGATACAAGCAGTCTTGTAACCAGCTTCAGCTAAACCGAAGGCAGCTCTTAAACCTGCACCACCTGCACCAACGACAATACAATCATATTCGTGGTCTATGACATGGTATTTCTGGCTCATATATTTAGCTGCATTGAAATCTTTACCTTTAACATTGTCTCCAACAACCTGTCTTTTAACAACGCTGTTAGAAAATTGTCTAATAGACAACCTATTGAATACTCGATTACGCAAGATAACCATCACCAGAGAAGATGTCCTCGCCAATTACAATACCCTAGCAACAAACTATTGTAATTCTTCAAATATATTTTACCTATGTATCTTTGGCTTTGACCAAATAGTAACTATTACTAGACCCGGGATTGGCTCCCACCAATCATAATCAATTACTAATGCGAACAAATTAATAGGCAGAAATTGCGTTCCGTTCAGTGGAGAGCCATTTAATCTTACCGGGAGTGTGTAACGTGATCTAGCACGTGCTGATTGGATTATTTTGGAAAATGCGCGGTTCCGAAGCCGATCTACTGATAGTGTGTTTATGTGAAACTAGCTGTATGATTGGAGCGTCCAGCATTACAAGTACACATAAATTCCGTAGAGATCTACATCTGAGTTTTAACGTATTTCCTGTATTTCAAAACAACTTATAAACCACAAGACTTGTATGATCTTATTGTTTTCTATATCTATTAAATAATCTATCAAATAATTCTATTAGACCGAACAGTAACCACCGTCGACCCTCAAATCAGCACCAGTAGTAAAAGTAGATGCATCAGAGCCTAGGTACAAGTATGCACCTGCCAATTCTCTTGGGAGACCTTGTCTTCCTTTTGGAGTTAAAGCGTACCAACCATTCTTCTGTTCCTCAGGGACAAAATCAGATAATTCGGTTGCAATATAACCTGGTGATACAGAGTTACATCTTGCGAACGCGGACCACTCAACCGCCAATGACTTACTTAAGTGAAGAACTGCGGCTTTCGCTGAGTTGTAGCAAGCTTGGAAGTTAGGAACATTAACAATGTGAGCAGACATGGAAGCAGTCATGACCATAGAACCTCTACCTTGTTCTCTGAAAATCCTACCAACGTATTTGGCACAATGGTAAACACCATTTAAATCAATGTTGAAAACATTATTCCATTCAACATCATCGTCTTGGTCAATAAGAGCACCTGAAGTCCAAGCGATACCAGCATTGGCAACAAATATATCAATAGCCTTGAATTCTTTGTGAATATCCTCAATAACATTCTTGACCTGCTCCGATTTGCGGACATCGCAATTACGGAAGATAACTGTCGTCTTCGGGTATTTCTCTCTTAATTCTTCAATAGCTGTTGGATTATCCGCATAATCAATAATAGCCAAGTTCTGTACACCTGCTTGGCAGTATGCCTCTGAGATAACGTATCCAATACCTCTTGCGCCTCCAGTGATGGCAGCTGACTTTCCAGTCAACATGAACATTTGCATCACATTGTCGGGTAATGTGGGAAATTGAGATGGCAAGCTACCAATGTCCTTATTGACCATGGAGTTTGCTGGGCCCCTTTGAGTTTCATCAATCGTCATTATCTACTACGTTTAAGTTATTTATGTGTTACACTGAACGTTAGAAATAGGTATGCGAGAGGAAACGTATTTCAAGGTATTTATAGTCTACGAGGCGTCGTATCAAAAGCAAATAAAGCTGCATTCTTCTGTACCGAATAACCTCATCTCTGGTTAATGTATGCAAATTTTCGGAAAAACGACCTTTTCTTTTTCGACTTGTATGAAGAACATGATGCATAGATGACCATACACGATTCAAATATGAAAATCTAGCACAGCAAAACAAGTCGAGTTCTATTTCAAGGTTCAAGTCCAACGTTCTCATACTATCGGATCGATAAGTGTTGAACCAGATGGTCAAGAAGGGCAATATACACTTTACATTAGATAAAATGATCTCTTTGCTATTTTGACTTTATCTCTACAAAGTGCACGCACTGCCTTTTTCCTTTGGAAACTCAAGTAGGAGTCCAATATCCGCCTTGAACCACAACAATAGTGTTCTCCAGTATTACCCCAGATGGACAGAAATCAGAAAATAATTCGTATTGGTCGCGTATTGTAGCGAGAATAGCTCCGGCTTACGCTTTACTGTTAAGATAGAATTGGATATTACCATGTGAGTAATATTGGACGATTTCCTCTTGGTCTCCCTCTTGTCCTCCTATTTTCTCTCCTTCTATCTCGGTACACGTTCAGGCTTATTTGTTCAATTATGGGAGAAAGGGCCCCTTGAGCCAAGGTTGGGCAACCGTGGGGCAGAAAAAGAAACTAAGTCTCGGACAACAAGAAGCACCGTAGCATCAGTAGCGCGAGTTCGAATCTTGTCGCTGATTGGATTCTTTCACTTTTCTTTACCTGAGAACATAATCAATACTTTGCCGTACCTTCATACAACATGTGTGTTCTCTTGGTATGAAGATTCGATGTAGTACGGTTATAGAGGTTCTTAACTAAAGTTAAACATGGCCCCCATTGACAGTGTAACAGCCAAAAAAAGGAGCGAGTACTGCTTAGGCCATTGTCCTGATCCGTGCGAGAGACTTAAAGTGGGCAATTGAGGACTCGGGGGCTCTAGGGGCAGGCTTACTGGCTTCGTCTTGAGAGCTCTTTTGGTGAAGTGGAGTCTTTATATTATCACGTGATTGTAGAATATTCTCGAAATTTTTCATCCATAAGTAGACGTTTTCTGGAGGATTTTCTTCACATCACCAGAGTATAAATATACTAAAACCTATTCTTAGACAACTCGGATTACGAGGTTTCAAGGAGTATACCAATTTACTGTGTTTCTGTTATTTGATTTCGTTTTGATAAGCAAATAAGTTAATTATGTTGAGAACATCAGGATCGCCTTTGAAGAAGGCAACGCTCAATTTCGTCCGTACCTATGCTCACAAAGAATTGAAGTTTGGAGTTGATGGAAGAGCTGCATTATTGAAAGGAGTTAACACATTGGCAGATGCTGTATCAGTCACCTTAGGTCCGAAGGGAAGAAATGTATTGATTGAACAACAGTTTGGTTCCCCAAAGATTACTAAGGATGGTGTCACAGTGGCCAAGTCTATTACTTTAGAGAACAAGTTTGAAGACATGGGTGCTAAGTTATTACAAGAGGTTGCCTCAAAGACTAATGAGTCTGCGGGCGATGGTACTACGTCCGCCACTGTGTTGGGTAGGTCTATCTTCACCGAATCGGTCAAGAATGTTGCCGCCGGTTGTAATCCTATGGACTTAAGAAGAGGTTCTCAAGCAGCAGTTGAGGCTGTCGTTGAGTTCTTGCAAAAGAACAAGAAGGAAATCACTACTTCTGAGGAGATTGCCCAAGTTGCCACAATTTCCGCTAACGGAGATTCCCACATTGGTAACTTGTTAGCCTCCGCCATGGAAAAAGTTGGTAAGGAAGGTGTCATTACAGTTAAAGAAGGAAGAACCTTAGAAGATGAGTTAGAGGTTACTGAAGGTATGAGATTCGATAGAGGTTTTATTTCTCCTTACTTCATTACTGACACTAAGTCAGGTAAGGTTGAATTTGAGAACCCCTTAATCTTACTCTCCGAGAAGAAGATTTCCTCGATTCAAGACATTTTGCCATCATTAGAGTTGTCTAACCAACAAAGAAGACCATTGTTAATTTTAGCTGAAGACATTGACGGTGAAGCTTTGGCAGCTTGTATTTTGAACAAATTGAGAGGACAGGTTCAAGTCTGTGCTGTTAAGGCTCCAGGTTTTGGTGACAACAGGAAAAACATCTTGGGTGATATCGCCATTTTGTCTGGTGGTACTGTATTTACTGAAGAATTGGACTTAAAGCCAGAAAATGCCACTGTTGATTTGTTGGGTTCAGCTGGTTCGATTACTGTAACTAAGGAGGATACCGTCGTCTTGAATGGTGAAGGTACGAAAGATAACATCCAAGCAAGATGCGAACAGATTAGAACAACTATTGACGATGTTCACACTACTGATTATGAAAAGGAGAAATTGCAAGAAAGATTAGCCAAATTATCCGGTGGTGTCGCAGTTGTTAAAGTTGGTGGTACTTCAGAAGTTGAAGTCAGCGAGAAGAAGGATCGTTACGATGATGCTTTGAATGCTACCAGAGCTGCTGTTCAAGAAGGAATTTTACCAGGTGGAGGTACAGCTTTGATCAAGGCTTCTAGAGTTTTAGATAGTGTCAAATCTAAGGCAGCTAACTTTGACCAGAAGTTAGGAGTTGATATTATCAAGTCTGCTATTACCAAGCCTGCAAGAAGAATCATCGAAAACGCTGGTGAAGAGGGTGCCGTTATCGTTGGTAAAATCTATGATGACGCAGATTTTAACAAGGGTTATGACTCGTCCAAGA